TTTTTACAAAGTACGAGCAAAAATTCATCGGTAGAGATATATATATTTCTTCGTTATATATATGTATATGGGTCAATTACTTCAGCATCTCAATAGTCGAACACCGATTTATTCTTACGTTTTCACACTGAAATTCTTGCGTGGTTGGTACGAGGATCAGTCAGGTTTAATTTTTCGACAATTAAATGCCGATTATACAGGGTGATTCACGTAACTTGCACACCTGAAGTAACTTTTCAATTATGCTGTCTGATGAAAAATTGTTTGATACGAATAGTCGTGTGGTTTCGAGGGAGGCAAAATGTGGCGTATCAATTTTTTGCGTGTGTCGACGGGTTTCGAAATTTTCAAGGTCACCTCTATCTTCTTAAATCAAACCATATATATATATATTTTTTTTCATCGTAAATTGAAAGAACAGTGAATTCTAAGTAAAAAAGTATTAACCTACATTGGTTCCAAACCTAATAGTTAAGAAGAAATTATTTTACCATGATTTATCTCGAGGATGAGAACTACGTGGTATCGTCAGAGGATTCGACAATGTTTAAACACTAGTGTTATTATTTTATATTCGGATGTAGAGTTAGTCACATTCTGCAGTTATTGAAATTCGTGTATGATTTCTCTAAAAATAGAAGTGCTGAGGTACATTTGTGAATGTTCTCCAACTAGCGTGGCAAATTAGGAATTTTCGAACCGTTTGACCATTCACATCTGTATCTTTTTCTCCTCTTGGAAAGCTAAATCGGTTTTAGAACCAAGGAAAAATAAAATAAAATTGCAAACTGTCGTGCGAGCTCAAAATATGTATATGTATTTCATTGCGTTATGCGCAATTGACAAAAACAACTTTTTTGTAAATATAAAGATTGAGAAACGGTTTAGGTTAGGTTCAGGTTAGGTTCAATCATTTAACACGGCAGGCAGTACCAGCTATCAATCGATTCACATTGCCTCTCAATATTCGGAAGTTCACTTCGCTCAAGTTGTAAGTGTCTGTTGCTGCTTTTTGATATCTGTTAGTTAATGCCAATAACTCTTCTCCTCTTCTCGCGTTCTTCACTTTGAGGCCGCTGGTGAACTGAAGGGTTTCTCTGTTCCTGGCTACCTCCACCTGCAGTTGCAAACTTGTTGAATTTTCATCTCGATGGAGAAACACAATCAAGAAGGAAAATTCAAATGCCGATATACTAACGATATTGTGCCTTTTAAGCGGACGATGTTCATTAATGCAGGCAATCGATGTGTCGCCCACCAGTCCAAAGAAAATTGCCCCAGTCCTCGACGCTGCTTTGGCACTCGCTTGAGTCCATAAAATATCCTCACCCCTTGAAATTAATTAGAAAATATAGTGAAATGTAAGAAATATAATATATATTATATATATAAACGCAATATAATGAAATGTAAGAAGTATTATATATTATACATTATATATACACAAGGTGTCCTAAGAGTCATGGTATTGACTTGGGCCAGGCTAAAGTAAGGCTAAAAAAAATAAAAAAATAATAAAATATTTATCTGTAAAATAATTATCAGTGCACGGATTTTCAAATGCATGTTTCTCGGAAAACAATTGCCTGCGATTTTGTTATTGTTGATTTTCGTTTCAGTTTCAGCCACAGAGTGAACTTCTGAGACACCCTGTATATACAGAACGTCTTATTTTAATTCATCCACGCAACTATCTTCGCAATTGTTCATCGTTTGAAACAAAATTTGTTCTCGAGGGGGATATTTTATTATCAGATTTGTTTCAGATGGAGGTGTTTTCGAGATCTCAAGATCAAATCCACTTTAAAACGAAATTATATATATATATATATATTTTTTTTTTCTTGCATTAATCGATGCAACTCGACATTCTCTGTGAAAAAGTATCAAGCTACATGTGTCGAAAAATTATTTGTTTAGAATAGTAATTTTAACTCCTTGAGAGAGATAATTAAAAATATATATGTGAGTCCATCAAAAAAAAAAAAAAGAAAGAAGAAAAAATAAACGTAACTTTGAGATTTCAGAGACATTTTTGCCTAGACTATTTCAAATTTGGTGACTCATCGTAAAACGTCAGCTTTTTATTTCGAACAATTGAATAATGCAAACGAAACTACAATGAAAATACAATGTAATAAAAAAATATA